TATATATATATATATATAAAATTGGTATGGGGTTAAATTTAACTATAAACAGCGTATGAAAACGAATGTGAAGCAATGGGAATGGGTAGTTGAATGAGATAAAATGTAATAAATGTGTTGCCCGTTGTGGTTTGAAGGAAATCTGATACTTTATAGTGTAAGTGAAATTATTCATGACTACAAGTCAAAGTCAGAGACTGAAACCTACATTAATGATAAATCGGTAACTATGCAAATGAAGCGTGTACTTAAAAAAGTTATATTTTGAAAAACCAATAATATAGATTCTTGCTTAATTACAAATCATAATAATAAATATGTTTTGAAGAAAATCCATTGCTGGCAGTAACTTCATATTTGTACTTATATATGCATAAAGCAAACTTCCAGAAACAGTTATAATCGCTAACCACGAAAGCTGCTCGATTCTTAAAATTTTCTAGATGGTTTTCGTTTAGTTTTCATCTTAAAAAAATTAATAATAATAGCAATCAATAAGCTCAAAGTTTTGCAAAATTACTTAAGCTTTTTACATTAGATCAGAAGGATACGCTAGGTGGCATCAAAGTAAAATCGAAGCCACCTGCAGTTGAAGTACAACAATCAAGAATAATAATGAAGATTGATTAGAAGTATCAACATTTTAAGGATATCATAAATCTTTACGTTCCCTAATTAACCATCAATCTCATCGGTTATTTTTAGAGCCATCTAACGTCTAACTACCTCACCAACAAATACATTTTTACTACCAGTTCCAGTAATGATTCGTCCACTAAAACACTATAATATAAAAAACCAGCCATTATTAAACCACGTTAGTCATTCACTGGCAGACGTCACGAGCGGAGTTATTCGTTTCAAGGCTGCGAACTTCGGCTACCGACAACCCTACATTACCCTTTCGATTCTAAGTATTCAATCAGGAATCACCGATCCTCCCCAAGGTCTGCGTTGGGAGAGCCTAACAGCTACGAAGAAAAAATAAACTTTAGCAAACGGGACAGTCTCTAACAGGCAAGCATAACGAACCAATCCCTCCACCTTAGATCACCAAAATGACTGAGCTCTGCAAAAAAAGGTGCTTTAGACACCATCGTTTTCGGCGGAATATCAGGTGTTTAACATCAGTATAAAGTATACTGATGCTGACTTTGATTTAATTAATTAGAAAGATAATATTTAAAAGTTTAGCGCTCAAAACGGAATGATTGTAATTCTTTTCGCTGTACATCCACCAATCACAGCGCGCTACGCACCCATGCGTTAGGTCGGCTCTTGACTGCTCCACAGTCAGTCTGCTCCGAACGTTCGGCTTGAGAGCTTAACTATGGAATACGTTCCGCTTTTGGCTTCGTTTTCTCGCTTAAAAGCATGAGAACTATGTTAAGATCGAGTCGTGTGGCGCCTTTTTGCTTAATTTGTACCAAGCTTCTGTATATCTACAACAAATAATTATTGTTTTTTTTGTTACATATAGAAGTGTTATGCAGTGCAAATTCGTTGTGAATGTCAACTTAATGAACCCTCCTTCCTTAAGAATCCAACCACTTATTCATTCTAAATACAGTCCACTCGATCTTTCAGAAACACCAGAAGACGTTAGATAAGAACTCTACAACTAGATCCAACGCTTCAGACGTGGCACTTTTCTTTCCGATCAGTCTGGTGCTACAATAAGAGGCTAGAAAAGATCACTCTGAGATATTCAGGCAGTTACGTTTGCAGGAAACTTCAGTCAAGAAACAGTTTAGCTTACTGGCCCTTTTTAGGGCTATCGGACATTGAACTACCTTACCGAAAAATATATTACAACTAAAAAAAATTGACAAAAAACGGCCCTTAGGGCTCAAAAAAGTTTCAACTATGCCAATAGTCGCAAGAGGGTGAATTAAAAGAAAAACTTTAAACATTTTAAATGTATACAATTTCAGACGTCAAGAAACTGACGCAGAATATTCATCGAGATTGAAACAGCAGCGACAAAATAAAAAACTGAACACTCTATGAAGTGAGAAATTAGCTATTATATGCATTATAACACTGGTGGAAATTACTTACATCTTCCAGATTTTTAAATAGGTAAAATAATATGTATTTGTATTTATTCTGTCAATATAAAATGGAAAGATTAAGCTCCAGGACTTTGTTGGTCTGGTAATAAAGTTGTAAAATTAGAGAAAAGAATTTATTAACTATCTATTTTTGGTCAGTTTTAAATATCAACAGTTTTAACAAATAGCCCTGTTCATTTATTATAATGTGAGGAAGTGACATTCAACGCCCTTTTTTTATGGAGTACAGAACGCACAGTACTTTTCAACATCAATATACCTTTTTTTACATTTTACACCTTATTATTTGACAAAATAAATTGCATGAATTCTGAACATAGATGTTTTTCATAAGTTTTTTGTTCTAAGAAGTCTCAAAAGTAGACGTAAAATTTTTAACTAAAAACGTTTTATATGCAGTGAGTCTCGGGCAAACCTGGGACGAGGACCACTAGTTAATATATTTTAGCAAAGTCGCAAAAAATGGTATAATCGCTAATTGCGATGAATACTCAATCGATCTTGCTGAAATTTTGCACACTAATTCTTGATACTTTCTCGATGGTTTTGTTATGGTTTATATATTAAAAAAATTAATAACAGTAGCAATAAATAAGCTTAAAGTGTTGCAAAAATACATCAGCCTTTCACTTTACTGTAGTAGGATTCCCTAGGTGGCGCGGGAGTGAAATCAAAGATACCTGAAATAGAAGTAAGAGGATCTGGTTATAACATCCCCGAGAAAATTTCCGTACATTAAAGTCGTTCATCCGCAGTGCATTAAGAATAGAATTTTGAGCCGTGCAGTTGGGTATCTCAGCTACCAACAATACTTTTCTCCAATGAAGAAGCGACTTAAGTCGAATTCCATCCTGAACTACCAACATTAACAAGTGTCACAAATAGAAGGCTTTCTGAACGCCATCGTCTCCAGCATAATGCCAGAAGACGTGTAGCTAGAGCACAATCTGATCCAACAATTTGGGGTTTCGTGGTTATTCCTTTAACTAACCTGGTGGTACCAAAGCAGATTTTGCTACAATAGCAAGCCAGGGAATAAACCCTGAAAGGTTGGGGAAGCCACATTAACTGAAAATTTTATCAGCCTCCTCCTCAGTAGTTTGTCCCGAGGTAATACCCACAAAGGATGTATTCTCTAGGCCAACTTCCCCAAACAACGGTGAACGGTTGTTTATCCGGGGAACGACTTGAAGACGAAACATTCTTTGGCCAGAGATATACCTCTCTCCAGTACGGTCTCCGTGTGCAGAGACTGCGACGGTAAGAGTCAAGCCACCTACAGCCAGCTTTCCGTTATTGAGAAAAATAATAAGTAATGACTGAAAGTAGTACCACTGTCTTTTTCCGGGACCATAATAAGTATTTACGTTCCCTAATCAAGCATTTATCTTATCAGTTATTTTTAGGGTCATCCAAAGTTAAACTACCTTGCCAACACATACATTGTTACTACCTATTTCGGCAATGATTTGTCCACTAAAAGACTATATATATCCGGCCAGTATTAAGGTAGCTGGGGTGATATTTATTCGAATAATAATCTCTGAAATTTTGAAATTATGTAAATATAGTCTGCTTAATTAATTTGCGATAAAAAAGTACTAAGGTCAACCACTTAAGTTTCCAAAAAATCGCTATTTAAAACTCAGAATATTGACGCAGTCTCATGAGATTGATCACTAAAACGACTATGACTCCTAAAGTAAATGATAAACATCTACAAATAAAAACTGTAATTGTACCTTTTTTATACGAAATCTTCAAGAATTCTGAAAATTATACGTAAACCACTAATATTTCAAGAAAATTAAGAAAAAAGTAATTTTTCGTCTTCTGTGCATGCACAGATTAAAATAATGAGTTTCTATTATTCTTTTCATCGATATTTAATAACTTTTTAGGCCACTGCGACTCTGGAATTTAAATGTGATTTAGATATTCAAGTATCATGAAAACGAGCTAAGAATATTTTTCATAATCTACAGAACTTTTGAATTGACATTATTTTAAAAAAGTTTGTGTACTGATACAAAATTTAAGTGGAACAATGCCGAGTTGTCAAGGGTTAAAGAAATAAAACTATGCACTGAAGTATGCTTCTTCAGTCAAGCATGAATGCTACAAAGTAAATTTTGTAGGCAAAGAAAATTAGATAAAACTAGACATACAAGTCTTTTGAAAATCAACTAACTCATATCTGGATGACCAAGCCCTACTAGATGGAGCTGAAAATGAATAGTAAAGACAAGTATAACTCTATTTATTCATATTTCAATGCCAGGATTTAATTTTTACAATACATTAAATTAATTTGATCTCCTTGTCTCCAAGTTTTTGTCTATGCTTCAGAGATTTTAAGCGTAATCAGTGGGTGTGACAACTTTTGCCTGAGTAACAAGATGTGAATGTGTTGAAAAGTCTTTTTTCTGGAGGTGTTTGAAGTACACTTGCGTCTATTGGGCATACATCCGTATTTTCCATGCTTAAACGTCTTTTAAACGTCTAGAAGAATTTCCTTTAAAAATTATTTTTTGTTGAATATCGATTAATTTTTAAAATCCCTTTTATACAGAAAATACAAAATTTTTTGATAAACCAAACTGGTCCTTTTGTTTCTTGTTTCTTAGTTTTAATGACTTTTACCTGAAAAAATTATGTATAATCTTTAGAACTTTTTCTATAATAAAGTAATAATAAATAAGCCCATAACAGCTGTGTTTCATTTTTCAAAAAGCCTACTAGAAGTGAGCCTACGGGTGTCTTAGGTCAAATCCTAATATATGTGTTCACTTGCTCATTTTACAGACCAACTCCCCATATACAGCGAGCCTAAATAAGTTTCACATAAAAAAAATTTTCTACTTAACTAAATTTCATAAGAATCTCAACGGTTGTATTATCAGTAATACCTAAGAGATAATGAAGGGATTAAGATCTGATCTGCAGCAAGTTTACATCAACACAATCCCTTGACTAAATATTTAGTCATAGTGATGAAAGAATGATAGAGCATTGATCTGTTTCACACAACAAACAACGTTTTATTCTTACATGAAAACTTAAATGTTGGGTTGTTGATTTGCTGAAAAATCCTTTTTAATGCTATCTTAAAGTGGTTCGCCAGCGAGTTTGTTCGCAGTGGTAGTATCACGGCCTCACGCTCTCTCTCGCTGCATTGCGCATCAGACTCTGTATTACATCTGCTATATATTATAGCCTCAGCTGTATATCTGTATGTGGCGTCCATATTCACAATACAACCATGAACAGTCATTTTCTCCGTTCAATATCTGAATAAAATCTAAGCTCACCCCCCATTTATTCAGTACGAGGAAAAACCTCGTGATCTTAGTTACAAATTTGTTATTTTTATGTTACTACCGTGAGCGTTTTAAGGTTATATTTATATGGATTTGGTAGAAATCCATAATCTTTCTATTTTCGACCAGCCTGTAAGAATGATTTCCCTACTGCTTTTTCGCCAAATTTGACACGCTAAGGGGGTATGAAATTTTAAGAGTAAGTACTTTGAGACTTCAATAACCTCTCAAAATTTCATCAAGTTTGTGAGACCTTTTAGTTTACTGTCGAACCACCTTAAGATGAAATTTATTTAGTTCACAAGAATGTTATGATGAGCTGCAACAAAGGTTCACTACATAAGTACAAAACCGTTTCTCGTCAGTTGACGACTGATTGGATAATTAATTAGATCACCAACGATCAAACAGGTAAGAAAAAGGTTGTAGCAAAGGTAGATAGTTTTTTTTACCGGGTTACCGCAACATCCTATTGGCCTAGTCAACGCGGTCACCCACTCACCATCTATGTGTGGGGGTGTATTGCCGGACCCATTTACGAATCTCTAAATTGATATCATACCTGTTATACCATGGATACAGTGTGACTAAGAATCTCCGATGAAACACCTCGCTAGTTAAGCTGGCACTCTCTGCACCAATGGTGCATCTGGTCCACTCGTCACCGTGCAGCTTTTTCCTGAAAAAGACTTCATATTTCAGGACACCTATCCTCGCCAGTGAAGCCGGCGCTCTCTGCTAAAGCATCGGATGCAGGCTTATTAGCATCTCCGGAGAAGCTCCATGTTTCAAGGATCACTCCTCTCCGGTAATGCCGGCGATCCCTGCCTGGCATCGGATCTGCTAATCCTTATCTATTACCTTAACACTGTTTCGCATTCACCCAGGACCGTAGACCTGTGGGACAAGGAAAAAACCCTGGAATCTAAAGGATAATTTTACTGAAAAACCCTCCTCAAAACACCCGTTTCATAAAGTTTTCTTTTGTAAATAAAAAATTATTTATGATGACAAAAAAAGCAATTCTATATTATTTTTTCATCGTGATGACTCATCATTAATTCACGAGATGTCACTGATATTAACTTACATCTGAATTAAAGGCAACCACGGCAAGCAATACAACTGCGTTATCAGTTCTAAGCGTTAAAAAAACAAATGGCAGCAAAGTAGACAAGTTAGTGATAGCTCTGATTGACTAGTTCTATCGCGCAGTCTATTTCACAGCTTTATTACGCTTTACAGGGCTGCACCCTTATAACTCCAAGTCAACAGAGATAAATATTTAGTGCACACCTTTTGTGTTACATATACCAAAGTCGCTTGCAGTTGGGGATGAACACATACCGTGTTAAAGACCCTGGCAAAAACTAAGAGGAAAGAAATCAGAGAAAAACATAGATACGTAGATTAAAACATAGATACATAGAAACATAGAGACCGAAAAATATTATAAGGTTCATTGCAGAAAATATGATGAGTATTGTAAGGGAGATCGACGATAAACTGAGCGATTTTCCAGTTAAGTTTTCCATGCATTTACAGTAATTACTAGTAGCTCATTACGATGTAGTTTTGTTCGCTAAAAGAGCGAGAAACAGCATGAAATATCTATAACCGATATTATTTTAGCAATTAAAATTATTTACATGACTTTACTTCAACATATACAAACTCAACATTATCATTTATCATACTGTAAAGATATCTGTCAGATTCTGAATCTTTAATTTCTCATTTTTACAAGAGCACTGCGATATTGGGCTTGAAATAAAAATAAAAATTTTACTTTACCTTTGCAGAAGGTATGGGGATCAAGAACCCAACATCGTCCCGCAATTAGTTCACAAGGTACAGCTTCATAAAGAGGAGCACATACCACTTCATTTTCATAGAACTTACGTGTTGGCTCATGATACGTTTCATGTGGTCGCAGATAATGATGCCCAAACACAAATTTTTCTCCACTGTAATTGTTATTACACTTTTATGCAAATTTTTGTCTAAGTAAATAAATTCCATGGCGGTACGCCAGTTTTTAAATTCCTATAGTGGACACTGAACGTAATTTACCTTTTGTTTTTCCAAAGCCTTTCGATTCTGAATATATCCATTTGTTCATAATCCAATTTGTCGATGGTTTTATATGTGTGCTTGTCGGGCGTATCACGTAAAACGTATACCGTGTCACCAGTCCTCAACTGAAGTTCTCCTCGCATCAAAGTTACAAAATACTTTTTGCCCTCTTCTTCTTCCTCAGTTTCAAGTGGTATTTCGTAATCAACTTCCCGTGGCTGACAATGCTCACAGAGGTATGAGTCAGCGCTCGTATCAGCTTTGACGCAATCACAGTGCTGCCAAACTAGACAGCGTTCACACTGAATCATAAGACCTTCGTCTCTGAAACATATTAATAATAAGAAATAAAATTACTTTACTAGGACAAAATGACAAACAGGCTAATAAACAATACCGGTGTAGTCCACATATACATCGAATGACATCTTCCTCGCCAGCTGTAGATCCTCTTGGAGGTAAAAATGATTGTGACGGTGGCAGTCCAGTAGCCTCAGTGATAGGTATGACAAAGTCAGCTTTGCGACTGAGATAAGCCTTGCGTAGTCGAGCAGCTGCAATGCCAATTTCGGATGTACGGCCAAAGAATCGTACATTATTTTCAAACATGCGGATAACATCTTGATCAAACTGTTCTGCAGTTTTATATTGACCACTATCTATATTTTGATCAATAGTTATGAGATCGATAGGATTCTGAACTTTTTCGTAATACTCAGAAAATTTTCGCTTAGGTGGGAGATTTATAAATGATAAGCATAGCAGAGCTTCATTTTCATCCTTTGTACTTGTCAACACTGCGTAAAGATCCTTTAGTACCTACATTTATAAACATAGTAATTTTTCTAATGTTTTATCGATCTATATGGTATAATTTAAATACTTTACTAATGAATACGTAACACAATATCTACCTTTGCTAATTTGGCGGTCTTGTTAACTTCTGGGTCATCTTGCGCCTGCGCCAGCCTTCTAGTTCGTACGGTTCTTGTACCAGTGTTGGTCAAAGCTGTAAGATGGTTTAAAAAAACTTCAGCGTTATTTTTTCCGTCAACTGCAGTTTTTTCCTTTACTGCTTGAATCCCGGAACCAGACTTAACTGTATTCTTACTCTAAAACATTAAAATTCTTAGTGAAGTTTTCATTGCAAATACAAGTAAGACAAAAATAAACAACACATACACTGAGAATACATACACGGGTGACAAAGTGCGTTTATTAAATGGATACAATAAATCCGTGTGGTTTGCCATGCATTCTTAGCGTGGCGAGTATAAATTAAACGTGCCCACTCAATATACATTGTTCACGGCAGTTTACTACGGAATAAACGTATGGCGAACTTTGACAAAAGCGCATACGGCTATGCTTTCAGTGGTTTTTGGGAGTAAATAAAACATGAGGCGTTAGAATTTAAAGTGTGAACGGTAGCAGTGCAGTGAAACTTGGGTGAAAAAGATAGGTTGTCCAAAAGACCAACTTTGTTACCAGTCTAACTGATTGTGAGTAACAATTACGTAGTAGTATCTATGCTGGTCAACGGAAAGATTTGAGTCGCAATTGTATTTGTAATGTGTACACAAATATATTCATAAGTATAAATCTTCCATTGATATAAGTTAAGAAAACATGTACATCATTAATTCAGTCAAAATTTTACGATCAGGATAGAAAATAAGCGATGTATAAGAAATAAAAGAAATACAGATGAACTTATCGGAATCCAGATAGAAAGAAAAATACCAAATTAGTGATAAAAAATAAGTAAATAAAACTTTGACTGAAATCATGCCATTGTTTTATATACAATACGATGAATTTTTTCGAAATGCATACATGTATTCAAATACGATTTTTATGTCACTTTCACTTACAGGAAATCTGGATACTTCCGCAATATTATTAGAATGTATGCTACAAGCAAGCTATGTCTACTAATATACATTCATTTGTGTGTTAATTTATTTGAAAAATTTGTACATAAATCTAGAATAATAAATCTAACTAGGAATATCAATGGTGCAGTAATGTCTCATAGTAGTTTGATGATAAAATAAATTTTAAAATAGAGTCGGGCGGTGGAGGCTTTGGAAAAGGAAGGTGAAGGTGTATCAAGAAAAATTGTGCGGGGGGTCCGTGGGGGTCTGGATAACAAATATGCTAAGTTAAAATAACGGAGATAAAGACGCAATTTTACGTTTTTTTGTGGTGGGTCATTGGGGGTCTGTGAGAAGGCTGTGGGGGTTGTGTGAAATGTTAAACGCAAATCACTATTTAATATAGAAAGATATACACGGGGAAACTCACACATACACAAGCACGCGCATAAACTCTCATATTGGTATTTACTACAGTCCACACAGTTTGACTATCCTCTAACACCCACAAATTATGGTAATTCCACATCTACTGCTATATCTACAATATGCACTTAATCTCTCTTTACTTGTACGATTGCATGTCTTTAAAAGAAATCATTTAAGATTTTAACTCAATACACCAACGCTGTTTTAGTAGTTCAGCCAGTAATAGTTGTCTGCAATACCAGAACAGCAGTGTGCCAGGTCGTTTTGCTTTGGCTTATCTGCTGTAGTTACACTGCCGCCATATACAGCCTGCTGCACAGCTAAGAATGCAGAGAAAACAAGCAACTAACAAAATACATGCACCAAGAAGTTTTATTTGTCGTTTAATGAACTTTGTGTATTATATATATTATGTACTAAATGACTATTGTAAATTAAATTTCTCAGTATAAATCAAGATAATATGCTAGAAACACACAAAAAACTAGAAGTGTCGATGACTTAATTTTGATGCATACACTACTAGTCAGTTTTGTAAGTATCATAAAACGTTAGGAATTCGTTTTATGTATTTATATTAAACTAAACTATAGCTGTACAATACTAATATTGCGTATCTGTTTTTTTAGATCAAGTTTCAATTCATTTAGTGGAGTCGACAGCTTGAAAAGTACATCTATATTCTGAATTAGTAAGCTAAAGGATTTTTCATTTTATTATAAGTTGCATTATTTGAATGTCTGTTTAATGTTTTGGTATTGCATCCAGCTACTACGGGGCGAACTGCTTAAATGGCGTTAGCGTGTACAACCAAAATTGTAGATGACTTCATTCAGTAATAGGGAAACCCCAAATTCACGTTATGGGTTTTAATTTTTTTTTTAGTTTACTCCGCAGCAGAACGCACCATAAAGAACCATGTTCTAATAGTATTTACATAATTTTTGTTCATTGAAACCACTTTTATTAGTTACAATTTTTTACAAGCTATACTTTAGTAACAGTAAGTTGTGATAAAAATCTTTAATTTATTTTATGCATTACAAAAAATGATTTTTACATAAATTATTTGTCAAAAAATTAAAATGTTTAAGTACTTAGATTTAATACCCGAAACATTTTTTGTTCCTTTAGCATTTTACATCACTTTTTTTTGTGATCAACAAAAAAATCTTTTTCACATACAAAATTTCTTTTTGTTAACACTATCTCAGCTTTTTGTTTGCCACTTGTCCATTTTCAGAATGTGTAGCATAAGGTAAAAATGTTTTCTTTGTTTTTCTCGACTACTTATCTTTAGTTTCCTGATTTTATTGTTTTGATCCAGAATGTTTATAGAAAACAAAATTAACTTCTTTTTTCAGATTTTTCTATATTCTCTATACTTTACAAAAACTCTATTACTTATGTTATTAAACGTAATCATTAATTGTTATCTGTGTCAGCTGTGTGATTGAGGATAAAATAGAGAGATGAAAAGAAACTGACCTCTTTTATGGTAAAAGAAAGACGTTGTTTTTGGATTTACTAGTTAGCGAAAGCTGTTCCTCGGCAACGCGCCGTACTGTAGAATTTTTTAAATTGTAATACAATATAATTAAAATTTTTCAAGCCCATCAAACAAATGTAAGTCTTATCTTGAATAAACCATAGACTAGACTGATACAAGAATATGGCTGAGTTAGCTTGACTGCACCACCGCCGCGCCGCTCTAACCGTAGCAGCTTAATCAAGTAACTAAAAGCTATGTCTACTTGACAGCCAAGTAGATTCTTCTTGGTACTGAAAAGCTAACGGGATGGGTCACAAACGAAGCGAAATGGACTTCGTATAATCAAGTTAACAAGCTATTATTTTTTTTACTGATCCTGTCTTCGTTTCATTCTTTATAAAGAAATAGGATTTTAGTTGCTTGATATTTGAAGAATATTCTACAACTAGTGCTCTCAAAAGTGGCATTCAAATCAGCGGCTAATAAAAACTGAATAACAACTACCTAAAAAAAAAGGTTTACAAATACATATGTAAGTTTGAGTGTTGTAAATATTTTTTCTTTTGAAATTTTCTTTTATAGACTAGTAAGTCTGAAAAATTCGGACGGGACATAAACTGAAGAATTTTAAAATGAGTATATGTAAACATCACATATCTTATAAAAACCATTTTAAAAAGCTTTTTTGTTAAAATTTTGAAAACAAAGTCAGATTCAACGTTATTAGTACTAACAGCGTTAAAAAACCTGGTATTGATAACTACAATTTTTTTTTTCAAATTAAAAACACGGTAATTCATAGCGCACATACCAACGAACATAATGTGCTACTCCAACTTATATGTGTCATCAACATGCCACTTGATCTTAAATAATGTAAACCTAATTACCCTATAATCTAAGCTTTTAAACCTTATAATCCTATAACCCTTTAGGTTTCAACTCAATAATTCAGTCATCAATCCTAAAGCCTTCAACCATATGACCATGGAATTCCAAAGCCTTAAACTACCCTAAACTCTGTAATCTTGGAGCATTTCAGGTACTGGGTTATGGTGTTAAAGATCTCAGATTAAAGGAAAATTGGGCTTCAATAAATGATGTATACATACGTCTATATTATTAGATTTGTACATTTTTTTAAAAATCATTTATCACCACCCTCAGGCTCAGACAGGGCTTTTCACACAAGCATAGTGTTTTTCAGTCATTGGTGTAAACCAAAGTCATGACCAGATGTATACACACACATATAAACACTAGGACTAACTCAACCAAACTTATGATCTTGTTGTTAAAGTGGTGAAGAAACAGTTATAACAATAAATAACGAAGGCGAACGGCAAAACCTAAATGGTTACCAATCCAAGCATCTAAACGGTCACTCAACCAAGTACTAACCACGGCAAAAGCTGCTTAACTTTGGAGATAGATGGATTAGTAATTTTTATGAAAAATTTATGCATACAAAAATTGAATGATTTTAAATTAAGATTACAATTTTTAAATTATGCTAAAAAAAGGTGTTGTGTGTAAAACTGAGCCAAGTGGGATGTACAGGACAGGAGAAAATGGGACGTTCTCTGTCCATAGGTGACGCAACTAAACCAGCAAACATGTAGCAAACATCACTGTTAAGGTAAAGTACCCTATATTCGGACAAAAGTGTTGTTCGGACCTATATCCGGACAGCAGCGATAATTACATAATTTTTTTACAATTTCTGAATGAAAAAATTTATTTGTAATCTACAGTATCGAATTGATTTAAGATAGTTGAAACATATGTCAAATTAATTTGATGATTCGTTAAAAAAAATGTTTTTTCTTGCAAATCGAGGTTTTTGTGTTTGGCTGCTGTCCGGAAATTAGATACTACGGTTCAAACTGTACCCCATTTTCAGACACACATAATCCAGCAATTCACTAGCTTACAAGTGCAAAGAAATGGTATACAATGTAGTAAAATACAATAATAATTTGTTTTTTGCATTTGTTTAGCAAATTAAAGCTATTCAAGTAAAACATAACTGTATATAAAGATCTGCCATAACCTCATTTTCTCAATGTTCACCACTGTCCAGATTATGGTCCCTACGTCGTACCGGGGCCTATATTTGGACTATTTAGAAATGCATTGTCCGAATATAGGGGTTTTGAGACTGAATCTTTATAATTATTTTAAACATCGATCACATGGTCACAAAGAACTTTTTTTTTTCAAGTGACAGAAAAATTACTTTATTATCTATACGTCAACCGTCTTTTTTGCAAAAACAGCTAATTTCTTTGTGAATTTAGAAATAGTGGATTACCTAAAATTATGTGTCCGAATAGAGGGTACTTTACCTTATCCGATTTTGAAACACAAGGCGTATAAAGTGGAGCACCAGCTGATCCACTACATGGGTAAGCTATGTGTCTATGCAGAAAAGCAGGTGCACCACTTTTCTCTTAGTGTAGACATGTAATAAAAAATTATAATGATCAACACTATGTACAGAGCACATATGTCTGTTTTTTTCGCACCTAGCCAATAGTGGGAGAACTAAGTCAATTCACCTCTCATCGTTAGTATTTTGCAAGAGAGAGAGAGAGAGGGGGGGGAGAGAGAGATATATAAATATTAATGCTTGATATTCTGTATCTTTCGACCTAATCTTCAGCACACAGTGATAATCACTCTATTTCTTATTATATGGCTAGGATAGTTTTAAAATGTATGGAATAAAGCATGATTATAGACTGCTATTTGCTTCATTTAACAATAATTTATAGTTTGTTAACTTTCAAAACAAATATTTTTGTATACTTCTTACCTTCGTGGTAGTTTTTGTATATAATACTTATTTATCATTTTGACAGTAAAATTTTAACTGAGTTAATAAACTAGATGTTGTATTTGAATTTAACCATTAAGAAGATATAATTAAATATATTTTTGTGTATACTACATCTACATTTTCGACACAAATCTATTAGTTAGCATAGATACTACTGTATAATTTTTACTCAGTCAGACTGTGTAAGCAGGTGGTCCTTCAATCTAGCTGTATTTCTTAAACCGTGGCTTTAGCTGACTGTCAAGACATACACACTGCTTCCCTTTATGCCTCAAAATTTATGAATCTAGGGTTAAAAAGAGACTTTGAAATAGTATCTTTATTTTTGCACTAGAACTGTGAATGCTCATCCCAGTGACATTAATTCTGACGACAGCTCAGTGCAACGACGGTTCCGAAAAAAGCTGTTTATTGTTCCGACAGCAAATCACAAAACAGTAAAAATGGAAAGTAAATGTATCTTGATTGGCTGTCATGGTTGTAGAAATAAAAAACAAACGTTGCCGAAGTTATGCTTAGCTGTTATTCAAATTTATTTCTTGAAAATCATTCGTAGTTTTACTACAAAATTGTGCGTTTCAATGTTTTGGACCCCCCCCCTGCCGACTGAAGCCATCGTCTCCGTACATTTTACATTTTTTTAGGGCTTGCCCTACGTGTATTCCGTTGTAAGCTGTCATACAAAATAAGCACAGAGCTCGTGTGTTTAATGTATCTATGTCATATTGCAAATGCAAGATAAAGCACATGAATTTATTGTAAGGCACGTAGCGTTATTATGCATTAAAAGTACATTTTATCCTTTTTGTATACCTGCGTGTTAACTTGCTGCACAGATAGTTTTCCCCGTCGTATCTTATCAATGTTGCGTATAAGAAAAACACGGTGTTGTAAAATGAAACAGCGCTGCTGATGTGAGAGCGGCTTGATAAGCGGTATTGTCAACAGTTGGCTACGAAGGCCTAATCTGCGTTTTTTGCACAATCCAGATTTCCCACGATTCGACAGTATGGGTACTGATTGTTGTATGTGCTGTGTTTGTTGGTGAGAATCTACAGAGTTGATTAAATTTTTGCGTGCATTCTTTCGTGGCCTTCCAACGCGACGCTCGTTTGGCGTGTTTGTAAAGGTTTTTGTAGTAGAATCGATGGCACCTACGTGCATCGGTGAGACTGATGATGATTGGTTCACCACTAAGGCCAATCTTATCACTCGCTGGCTCTTACCACCTGCATAAAAAAATTTTTGTACATTTTTTTGGAGCAGTATTTAAGTCACATCACACTCGACAATATATATTCTAATCTTAGTGTGCGAAGAAATAAATTTATTAAAGTTTATTTAGGCCTATTTAATGTATTAGCACAAGTTTATAGCTTACCAGCTACTTAGTTATTTAAAATTATTGTCAAGCATACAAATACTCAATCAGAAATGTAAGAGAAAATAGTTGTTTTGTGCATCTTATGAACAGTGATATTTTCTTGACATAGACTGAATATTATAGGAGACAATTTGTACCCAAAAATGGCATAAATAATGATATCACGACCCTTATGATGCACATTGAAATCTAATGCTATGCTTTTACATATCTTAGGTAGATTGGGTGATTTTTATTGGAATGATAATAATCTCTAAAATTTTGAAATTATGTCAACAAAGTGTGCTTACTTAATTTGCGATAAAAAATATTAGGGTCAACCACTTAATTTTTCAGAAAATCACTACTGAAAACTCACCAATTTAACACGCAGTCTTATTGAATTAATCACTAAAACGACTATAATTTCAAAAGTAAATGATAAGCCTCCACAAATAATAATTGTATTTGTGCTTTTTTTATAAGTAATCTTTGAAAATTGTGAAGATTATATATAAACCACTTAGATTTGAAGAAATCAAGAGAAAAGTGATTTATCGTCTTCTGCGCATGTGCAACAAAATGATGAGTGTTTATTATTAATTTTATCAATATTTTCATAACTTTTTAGGCCAGTACAACTCTAGAATTTCAAAAGTTATTTAGATATTCAATTATTATGACAATAAACAAATAATATTAATTAATAGATTAATTTCTAGAGACAGAATCTTTTCCAAACTTGGCATAATTACTCACAATATGTTTTAGTAAATGAGTTTTTATTGAGATCATAATTTACTCTTATGTCCGTAAGAATAACACTACGAATATCATGTATATATATAAATACACACACAGATATTGGTATCAACAGAACAACCTTAAACCTTACAGTAACTTGATGTTTTTTTTATTGACTCTATTATCTCAGTAAGTTCAAGAACTAAATATTATTGAGATTTTCAATTCATCTATTCTGACAACTTAGTCCTTGAATCCTTACAACCTTATGACGTGAAATTTCAACCACATTATTCGGGACTCCAACTTCTAAGACATGCATTAATTGTGGGGTATCACATCTATAAGCGGTCTTTTTATATAAAAATCTTTTTTGATCCCTAGTTAACTTACAATCAGTATGATCTTCGAAAGCCCTTTACTACTAAATATAAATTGGAAAACCTTATAGCAATTACAACTAACTTTAAAATCTCGCGTAAGCTGCTTGATTAAGGATCTTAAACACTTAAGACCCTGTATAATGCGTTTTCAGAGCCCAGATGTACTGAACCTAATCTTATACACTTTTATTAACTGAAAATATGCAGTTCTAGTTAACTATAATAGTGATCTAGCGATATTATACTAAAATTTATTAGAGAGGCAAAAGTAACTACACAAAAGTTATAATTGCTACTGGAAAATGACAGTTAAAAAAAAAAAAGTAGAAAAAAGGCGTTCTAATTGGCATTAAAGAAATGTGATCAAATACAGGGTTGAATAAAGTAATTTAAATATGATATTATTTGAATAGGAGCAAAAATTATTAAGACACTTAAGAACACAAAGATACAAACTATACTCAAGAAACTACAAGAGAACGTAGATGAATACTTAAACAAGAGGAATCGGTATATATTATAGGCGAACTAAATGTTAAAATTAGATGTGCTAAATAATTTCGATTTTTTGAGTTTTATAACACAGTTTAGTCGACAGACGTTAAAATTTTTTTACATTTTATAGGTTCTGTTTTATCTCATGAACAACAGGTTTTTCAAGTTTTTTGATTCGGACTCTGGCCATCTTAAAGCACGTATCATAATGCTTCAGTATTACTTCATAATCAAATCTTTAAGTACTAAAAGTTAAACACAAATAAATTTTCCGTCAATCGCTTTATGAGCAGTTTTGAAATAAGGGAGTATTGCAAAAAAGCTTGATCGTAAGATAACGTGACTAGCCCCAAGCGATAATAGCGTCTTTCTTGGGTACTTGTTTACTCATATATAGGTCATTCTATCACAAACCGAACGAATTTTGCTAAAAATTAATCGTCACCTCTCCGATTCAGCTGAAATTTTTTTTTCAGTTTCTATATTGCAAAATAAGAGATACTTGTCCAAGGATTTTTTTTAACGCCCATTTTCGATTTGATAAGTTATAACAAATTTCATAATAGTGGTTGGAGACTCATTTAAGACAATGTATAGCTCCGACTTCTTAAGAGCTACAAAATTTTCACCATTGGCTCTTTTATAGCTGAAAAGTTGAACATTAAGAAAAAAAATTAAAAAAAAACTATTTACAAAATAATATTGTTATTGACAGTTTATATGTTTTAATCGATTTTTAACAATTGCGCCCAAAATAAATATTCTACGTCAAATTTTACGTAAAAAACATGTTTTTGAAATATGGAGACATTTCAATTGTTATTGTTAAAATATTAATTTATGTAGCGTGTAATGGTAAAAAAACAGTTTTTTGAGTAGAAAATGATATCTGTACCTCGTATCAAAAAAAGTTAAAGGTATAAGTAGTAGATAATTAAAAGATCTACAACTTTTGTACTTCCCATTTGTCAGTATAACCTCAAAATTTTGTATTATCATGCAAAAAAGCGAGAAATCACCATTTTATCTTTTATTTGATATGAATTTACATTAAAATTACATCATAAAGGATTTATTTTCCAATCTAATCTCCTGAATGATAAAAAACGAATGTTCATTAAAGAAACATAAAAAGATTATTAAGCACTAGACAAAAAAATAATAATAACAATGCTCGTCGAGGTATCAATTGACGTTTTTGCTCGCGCGCATACTCTAGGTCATTCGACTCGGATCTTATCAGGTTTTTTTAGAAATCCCATGTTTTCTGTTTCCACGATTGTTGTATGTCGTAACATCAACACGTAAACCGTTTTTTGATCTTCAAATTTTTTTATTGCTACTTTGGTTGTTATTGTTTTATTAATTGTCTGCTTTTATATAATAAGTAGATTTTTTATCTCTTTGATTTTTTCGAATTTTAAAATTTCGCGGGAAGCCTGCCTACAGTACGATCTATGATTTAAAGTGTTACCCACGCTACTCGCGCACATTCACCATACTACAAGTTTGTTGGCTTTTGGATTAGCTGTGCGTTTATTTTGGTCCACTACAAGACATATTCTTACTCGTTGAAATTTAAAGTTAAATAATTTTTACTTTGTAACAATGCCACGGAAAGAGGCACGTAAAATACAAAATACTAGTTATCAATCAGAAAAATGTTTTAATCCTTTTAATGTCAAACACCAAATAACAAACACTTCTGATTTAAAGACAGTAAATGAAAACCAACTTTTAAAAATGGACTTGGTAATTTCATCAGATGCATTAAAACAAAAAATTTGTTCTTCTTGGGGCTTGAAGTTATCAAAGTTAAAAAAAGAAGATACAAAAGAGAGTGAAAATAAACTACCAGAATCGGTACGTACAATATTTTGATTATTATATTGAGTTCAGACATACCTAATCTCTCGTAAAATTTTAAGTCGATGTTTTAGTCTAATTTTTTGTAGACGCTACAAAAGGAGGATTCTTCAAGTGAAGAATCTGATATAAAAGTTGGAAGCAGTGACGGTACATCTGGATTTTCGGGGGATAATCCATCTTTGCAAAGTAAACGAGTGGGTTTTTTCAACAAAGAATAAAGCTTTTTAGGATCTTCGCCCATTAAAAAACAAAAACTATCGTCGAAAAGGTATTATATTGGACGAAAAATCAAAACAAATATCGTCCGTAATTGATAAAAAAATCTTTAATTTGATCCAAGATGATCCAGATGATCTTAGAAGCAAATGACGACGAGTCCTCAATAAAAAGTGCTTTGCAAGAAAGTTTTAAAACTTCAGCCAACTGCGTTCATGAAATTTAAATTTTGACAATTTTTCGATCGTGGTCTTATAAAAAAATTAAAGACACATTTTCTTCCGAAACTTGTATCATGATAGGCATAGCAAAAAATGTTGCTTGAGATAAGAAATTGATTGGGGATCCAAACCCAAAACAACATTCATCTCTAGATAATAATATAATCGATACAATTGTTAGCTTGTGCCAGTCTGATGACAACACTTAATATATGCCCGGAAAAAAAGATTACGTTTCGATAAAAGTAGACGGCAAATCGGTACCTATTCAAAAAAGACTAAACAATTTAAAAGAATTGTATAAAATTTTAACTAGTACGTATCTAACTATGAAATGTAGTTTCTCAAAGTTTGCTAGCTTAAGGCCGAAATATTGAGTTTTGGCAGGTGCTTCTGGTATTCACTCTGTTTGTGTATGTCCTATGCATTAAAATATTAGTTCATTAGAGAATGGTGCCAATTTTAAATCACTTACTTCCGGTTCTCAGCTGCCTTTGATGAATTATAAGGATTGTTTGGATCGCATGGTATGCAAAAACAAAACGACTGATTGTTATTTGAATTCTTGTAAGAAGTGCCCAGGCGTGACGAATGTTATTGAGCAACTGGAGGAAATTTTTAAAGAAGAATGTATTGAAATTGTTACCTAAAAACAATGGGTTACGGTTGAAAGAACCTCATTGCAGACCCTAATATCTCCACTTGATGAATTTTTACAGAAGATAAGTGAAGGCTTGCAAAAACTGTTGATTCATTTATTTTTGGTTAACCAACAAAGGGATCTCTTAAATGAGATGAAAAATAAACTGAGAGAAAACGAGTGTATCGTAATTTGTGACTTCTCAGAAAATTATGCTTTCATAATTCAAAACTCGGTTCAGGGTATACATTAGAACAACGATCAGGCAACCGTACACTCATTTTCACTTTATTATAGG